CTCCCCACTCCCTCCCCTACCTCCTCTCCCGCCTCCTCCGCCGCCTCGCCGCCCTCCCGCCTCCGCACGCGCCGCTCCCCTACGCGCTCTCCGTCTTCTCCGCGCACTCTCCCCCGGACCCCTTCCTCGCCGCCGCGCTCCTCCGCTTCGCGCTCCTCACGCAGCCGCCGCTGAGCCCCTTCCGCCTCTTCTCCCGCCTCCTCTACATCCCCCGCGGCGAGCTCCCATTCCTCCCGTTCGCCTTCTCCCCGCTCGCCAAGTCCGCCGCGGCCGCGCGCTCCCTCCCGGCCGCCCAGGCCGCCCACGCGGTCTCGATCCTCCTCGGCGGCTTTGATAAGCACCGGTTCGTTGAGAACTCGCTCATCGGCGCTTACGTCGCCTGTGGTGACGTCGGTGCCGCACGGAAGGTGTTTGATGAAATGGTGGTCAAGGATGTCATTTCCTGGACGAGTATTGTGGTGGCATACTCCAAGGGCGGCGATATGGGTTCCGCAGAGGAGGTGTTTGCGCAGTGCCCGGTGAAGGACATGGTGGCATGGACAGCCATGTTAACTGGGTATGCTCAAAATTCCATGCCGGTGAAGGCGCTGGAGGTGTTTGATCGGATGGCCACCATTGGCATGGGCATCGACGAGGTCTCATTGACGGGTGCAATCTCAGCTTGTGCCCAGCTTGGCGCGGTGAGGCGTGCTGCCTGGGTTCAGGAGATCGCAGAGAGGTATGGCTTTGGGCAGAATGTGGTTGTCGGGTCAGGGTTGGTGGATATGTATGCCAAGTGTGGACTAATTGATGAAGCACGCAGTGTTTTTGACGGGATGCAGGAGAAGAATGTGTACACATACAGCTCAATGATTGTTGGTCTCGCCTCTCATGGGAGGGCTAGAGAGGCAATTGCTTTGTTCAAGGACATGGTTAGGAGGGCCGATGTGGTGCCCAACCATGTGACCTTTATAGGGTTATTGACAGCCTGCAGCCATGCAGGGATGGTCAAAGATGGGCGCTTCTACTTTGCACAGATGAAGGACAAATATGGGATATTGCCATCTGCAGATCACTATACTTGTATGGTCGATTTGCTTGGTCGGGCTGGATTGGTGGACGAAGCGCTGGATCTTGTGAGGTCAATGACCGTGGAGCCTCATGGCGGGGTGTGGGGAGCGCTGCTTGGGGCTTGTCGGATCCATGGGAATACTGATGTTGCCAAGGTTGCAGCTGAACATCTATTTAAGCTTGAGCCAGAGGGTATAGGGAACTATGTGCTGTTATCGAATACACTTGCGTCGGCAGGAAAGTGGGATGAAGTCTCAAAGGTTCGGAAACTAATGAGAAGCCGGGGGCTGAAAAAGGATCCTGCTGTGAGCTCGTTTGAAGGCGGAGATGGTTTGGTCCATCAGTTCTTTGCTGGTGACAATTCTCATCCAAGGACCAATGAAATAAAGAAGGCATTATTAGAGCTAGCTGCAAAATTGAAGCATGCTGGTTATGCGCCAATCCTGACTTCTATTGTTTATGATGTGAGTGATGGAGAGAAAGAAAGGCTGTTAATGGGTCACAGTGAGAAACTTGCTCTGTCGTTTGGATTGCTGACTCTTGGATCTAGATGCACAATTCGAATAGTAAAAAATCTAAGGATCTGCGAGGATTGCCATTTGTTTATGCGGCTTGCCTCAAGAGTTGAGCAGGCTGAGATTATAGTCAGGGACAATATGAGATTCCACCATTTCAAAGATGGAGAATGCTCATGTGGTGGATTCTGGTGAAAGAAAAAAAATCAACAATAGTTCAACAAAATATGGCAGAACAGGAACTTGATTGATTAATGCTGCATGTAGTAAATTGTTTATTTGGCTTGTTTCTTGAGCATTGGCACTCAAATTAAGTAGCAGGATAAGCTAACTTCAGTGTGCATCATCTGGTTCGAGAGCAGTTTTGGCTTGGCTAATTTGCTACGATTTGTTACATGATGCAGACCTAAGCTGGCAATGTTTGGGTTATAAATAACCTGGGTGTTTGACCACAAAAGGTCCCATATTCATTTTGCAGAATGCTTCTTTAACTTACATTGGATGATGCAGATAAACAAAGCAAATGCAAATAGCGAAACACTGCCCACGGTGTATGTTAGCAAGAATTCCTTTTAGAGCATTGGTGGACATAACTATTGCAGGAGGACAGAAGTCAGGTCATTTCCTACTTGCTAATGTCTCTTTCATTCTGGATTATGGGGGAGGACAAATAAGAAATGAATTGCTGCCAATACTTTGCTATCTTGGTGTTACATTAATGTGTTCCTAGCAAAGTCCTTGTGCTTGTCAGCCTGAGAAGATCTAGAATTCCGCATACAAATTACTCACCATGACTGAGGTATAGTTCAGACCAAAATTTGGGGCCAGCATGTCAAGGAGATATGATATGCTATGAGATAGCTTGGAAGTGTTAACATTTGCTTCTTGCACCATGAAACCAACTGATCTGGGATGCCAATTGGTTGTCAACTTCTCATCGATGCTGACCAGAAGGGTTTCTTTCCCTGCTGTCGGAGAAGAGCCAGTGTGGTGCTTTTGTTGCATTTGAACTGGGGGCAATGCTTAGCTTGAGATCGAGATCACCTTCCATAGAAACACTCCAACTTTCACCTTCAACTGATTTACTGCTTTCTGGTTTTCTTTCTTGGTTTCTTGAAGTTTCTTCGTCGAAGAGGTTTAAGCATGACACTGGCTTGCATTCTTGAAGAAACGACTGTTCGGGTGCTTGCCTAGTATCAGAGTACTGTGCGTTTCCAATACAAGCAGATTGACTAGTCTCTGACGTACAAGAGCTATTCTTGAGGTTTGGCCTGTGGCCCTGCACCATTTCTCGAGTATCTTCTGTTCTGAGTTGGAAACTGTGCTTCTCGCCACGTAGTTCAGCCATCAGTGCTTTCTGTACCCTGTATAGCCGATGCAGTTCATGCACCTGACGCAAAAAAACAGGAATGTAAAACTCTGAGTTGCAGAATGACAAGACAAACACAGAATAGCGTAATAGTTGGTTTTCAGATGAATGACTATGCAGGTTAACAGCACTATGCACTGCATTACATCATGAAGGTAGAACACATGCTAATTATTCTCGTTGATGACTGCAACCGTATATTGCAAATTCAAGAATCTAAAGATCTATTCTGGTATTTGAACTTTGAGTTCCTCACTTTTGATCTTTCCCAATCTCAATGCTATATAGATGTCTTGTAAATCTGGTGCTTTATGAGATGAATTATGAATAACAAAACTACGGTTACCTGTTGTCTGAAGACCTCATCATGTTCCATGATTGTTCTCCGAAGTGATTCCTTGCTGTCGTGTTTGGAATACCTGTCCATTATATCTGCCAAGATGTCGTTCAAAAGCCCTCCTCCACTAGCTTTCAGCAATATTTTGGTTAGTTCCTGAACAGAACCTCTACTTTCTAGCTCTCTAATGATGGTTATTCCTCCTTTCTCCAACAGGGCAAAGAGGATTCTATGAGTACAAAACAAATCAGTAGCCATTCCTGAAACAGTCAGAGGGAAAGGTCAGGCTCGTCACCAATATTGTCTGCATGGTTAGTGAATTATCACATGAAGTTTTAAACTGCAACCAGAGTTTAATTCTACGATTTGCAAGGTAGAGTAATTATCATATGCTTGACTTCAGGGATAAGAGGGAAATCAGCCGATGCTGGATGCTGGGCCAATACAGCATCGCGAAATCAAACGAAGAGCAGCAATTCACATGAAGATTCACTCACCTGAAAATCGGCGACTCATGCTGTGGCTGCTTATCTCGCATCTTCACTCTCCTCTGGACTTCGGTTATAGCTCATGAGCACTGGGAACCTCCACACACCAGCAAGTGCGCTGACGACGGGCGCAAGCTCTCCTCAGCACCCATTACTCATTTCGCAGCTGCGGATAGCGGCCGAGCATGAGAGAATTGCGAGGGAGAAGACGCTCTGGAATCTGGATGCAGCAGCAGCAGTAGCAAGGCTCCCTCTCCTCCTCATGCTCATGGAGCAGACCACATCCTTTTGTAGGAATAACAATAGGCGAGCCAACCAAAAGGGGAGGAAAGGCAGCAATGCAAAGGCTCGAGACAGGCTGTGCGATGGCTAAGCAGGAGCAGGAGCAGGATGCAAGGGCAGCAACGAGGCAAAAGCCGAGGATTTGAGATCGTTGGCAGGAGGCAGAAGTATTTGTTTATAACAAACAGGGGAGGCTCAAGGAAGGATCAGGGAAGCGCGGCGGCCAATGGGACGGCCAAATCTCGCTGGTTTAATGAAACAAGGAGGCCAACCTACATGCATGTGGAGTAGATATTTCACGCAGGGCTTGCCGGGACTAAAGATACCAAGGTGTTTTCAAATCGCCACCCCCCACCTCCACCCCCACTCTGATATAGGATAAGCGAGGCCAGACATATCTTCACATGTTTGCAGTTTGTAGTAGATCTGCAGATACCGTGGGCCCGCGGCAAGGAGTTATCCTGGGCTGCTGCTGCTGCTGTCCTTGGTACTGGTAGTCGTCGTCACAGCTCCGGCCCTGGGGCCTGCCCACCAGGACAGCCTCTGAAGAAAAGTAAACCTCCGTTTGAGCTTCTTCCATGTGAGTTGCAAGGCCTTCCTAACTTTGTGTATTTTTTTTAATTCTGGACAGGTTGTTGTTCTTGTTGCTGTGCTGCTGCTGCTTCGGCATGTTCGATCCCTGCCTTCCCAGGATTCCAGGACGCCCGTATCTCAAACTTAGCCTTTGTTAATCCCATGATTGCACCGACAAGGTACTAAACTAACCTCTCCTGTTCATCTAAATTGCGCTTGGGTTGACTTAACAGTAGCTAGGCTGTTCAATGGTTCGTGATTTGATTTGGGGTCCAGATTCCATATGGTTTGACTTTTCTTTGTTATTTCTGTGCCCTCGCCTCTTTGATGGATCCATGCCTTGATTTAAGGCAGTCTCGATCACCATATGATATCAACACTTGAACAGTATCCCGAGCTAAGCACCAAGATTTTTTTTGGGAACGGCTTAATCTGGAGTTTTAATAATATGTTTTCTTCGTCTTCAGATATGCTAGTGGTACATACGTAGGACGGTAGCACAGTACAACGTAGGATAAGATTGCGCTGCCCATCACTACTTGGCTGTCCGAGAATCCTATGTCGACAACTCATCACAACTTAATGCCGGGGCCGGCCATGTTACTTTCTATCCACTCTAACCCCAAACTGCATTCTTTTCTCGTGCTCCCTTTTTCCACCAAAGAAGGGATTCTGGATATCAGACTGTCACTGTTCCGAAAAGGATTTGCACTTGGACATATACGGCATGATCAAACTGCTGACCCTGTGTCGTGTTTTTCAGTTCGTGTTCATTGATGAGCCCAGTCTTGCTGGTTAGGATCTCAATCATACGCGCCACTGGTCTTAATTTGTGTGATTGCGCCCGTAGAATGAAGCTAGCACTTGACATTCTACTGTACTATGACATGAGGTGAGAATCTAACAGACATTTCTGTGCAGGAGCCCCCATACCATATGCTCAATATCAGACAAGCAAAATATCTGATAGGGAAAGGAACTTTGCAACGTCATGGACTCACGGCCATCCACGTACCACTCGGGGGCAGACAAGCAGCATCAACTTCTGGATAACTTCGAGAACAATCTACTGGCTCTTGTTGCACTCCCAGTCCCGGACCAGATATTCGATGGTTCCTTTCAAGAAAGACTTGATATGGGTGGCCAACTTGCTCAGAAAGGTACGGGCATATCTATAAACGTTCAATTTCCTTGACAATTCTCTAGCACATATAAATCTTGTGCGGGACGATACGTGCGCGTCTGTGGCCCGTCGGCAACCGCATTTCCTCCATGGATGCATCGGAACGCAGAGGCTTCTTTCCTTTTCTCAAAAGGAAATTCTCCCGCCCATGTGTCCGCCCGTGGCGCACAGCTGATCTCCTGCGTGTTCTCGAAAAACAAAAGCCAGATGCTCATGGGCTGAATTGACCATGTGACTGATGCCACTGCTGGTGGGAGAGTTTGGAGATCTGGAGAATCAGGCGTGGTGGTCTGGTGGAGAGAGGGGTTCGGGGAGGACACCAAATAAGGAGCAGCACCAGCGGGCAGCGGCCAAATAATGGCGAGGCGACTGTCGCGCTCGCCCCGGAGGCCCGCCCGACAGCCTACCTGCCGCCGATCCCTTTCCTCGCTGTCTTCGTCGTCCGGGCAATCTCTTAATGAGTTTACTGCGTGTGCGCGCGCTTGGTGGCCAGCACAAACAACATCAAACTGGCTCACATGGACCACACCACGTACACCACACCACCACCCCGTGGCAACCCTGTCCCGGTCGGTGTTCACATACGTACTACCAGCTTTGGTCCTTGGATGCCCCCGGCCGGGTTTGGGCATAGATTATTGGTGGCCTTTTGGACCTTTCCCGGCCTAATTTTCTGCTAGCTCCTCCCCCTTGGAGTGGATCGCAAAGTGGCTTCCAGGGCGTGGTGATATGGGTATCTTATCTGTGACCGTCGTCATGCTATGCTTGATGGTTCCCTTTAACTCTCTCTACTCTGAGAATGAATGCCCAACCTTTTTCAGACAAAAAAAACTGTAAGCGCATCAATGATTTGGTCTAGTTTGAGATGGACTGGGTTCCACCATTTTTTGCGCTTTACGCATACTGCACAGTGAAAAACTGCTTTTGTGCAGAGACAGGATGCGTTTTTAGGGATTTGTTTTGCAGAGTCTAGCGACTCTTTCCAGTAGGCTTTTTCAGTTCGGTCATGGGCCCTGGGCCCTGGGCCCTGGGCCCTGGGCCCTGGAGACGATGGGCCACATTAGGCCCAACGAACCTTCACCCTGGTGAAAGCTGAACCACATCCAGAAGCGAAAAGGAATCACGAACGGGTGAGCCTGCCTACGGCTGGCTGCACAACATCCACGACACCCGCGCAAATCCCTCGCGGCTAGCAAGCGAAATCGGCTTCAGATGAGGCTCTACTCGCCGAGTCTCCGGCAAGCCGCTGCAGGCGCCGGCGCCGGCGCCACCAACGCCCCCTTTGCAGCAGCTCTCGGCAAGGTGCGTACTTCCACCCACCGCAGCCTCTTACTTTCAAACCATTTCCTCTTCCCCTGCTGCACCGACCGATCCTACTTGTGCTGTTGTGCGCAGAGTTCTTCGAGCTCCCTTATCCATGGCCGTCTCAGCTTCAGCCACGCGTCGCTGCAGACACCGAACCACCGCACCAAGAGAGCAGGTGCGCGCACAAAGGAATCCAACTACAGCAGCATAGTACTTGCTAGAATTGTAGGATTAACCATGCGTTGATTGATTGATACCTGAAGGGTGGGCGGTGCGGGTGCTTCCCCTGACGGAGGAGAACGTGGAGAGGGTGCTGGACGAGGTGCGGCCGAGCCTGATGCGGGACGGAGGCAACGTGGCCCTGCACGAGATCGACGGCCTCGTTGTCGTGCTCATGCTCCAGGGCGCCTGCGGCTCCTGCCCCAGCTCCACCATGACGCTCAAGATGGGAATCGAGTCCCGCCTCCGTGACAAGATCCCCGAGATCCTCGAGGTCGAGCAAATCCACGACACCGAGACCGGGCTTGAGCTCAACACACAGAACGTCGAGAAGGTCAGCCACATGCTTGCGTGCTCACTCACTGATCAATGCTCCATTGTGCATGCCACTTGTCTCTTTCCTGAGCCTGTAAATTTCTGTTACAGCCTAGGTAGTTAGTTCAACAAAAATGCATTTTTTATTGATCAAACTGTGAATCTGAAGTTTGTCCAATGTTGTAGGTGCTAGATGAGATCAGGCCGTACCTTTCCGGCACCGGCGGTGGAAGCCTTGAGCTTGTTCAGATTGACGGTTTCGTCGTCAAGATTCAAATCAGTGGACCGGCAGCAGGTGTAATGACAGTGCGTGTAGCTGTAACACAAAAACTGAGAGAGAAAATACCATCGATCCTGGCTGTTCAGTTGACAGAGTAGAAACATAAATTCAGTTGTGCATCAACCAAAGGAAGACAAAATTCAGCTTTGTGATTACGTTTCCATGTCAGTACTTCAGTCTTTTAGTTCTGAATCACTGCAGTGAAATACTACTAAACATACTAATACAGTTGTTATGTACAAGAATTATGTGGCTGGGAGAGAAGAAAATTCATGTCACCGTTAAGTCTGAAAGATACAATTCAACAAAACATTCGACCATTGTTACAACAGTGACAACACTTTCAGACTTCCAGTGCATTCATTCCCTTGGTAAAGGCTAAGCCAACATTTTCTGCAGAACTATAATCTTCAGTTTTTCTAGTGGCACCTGGCTCCACAATAAATTCCTTCTCGGTGCCTCAAACTCTTTAGCAACTCAAGTATTCTCCAATCTATGTATCTTTCTCTCAAATTGGCGGCTTGGGGCCATCTCTTTATTCCCTGTTTGTCCCCAGTCAAAGCGAGTTAGGTCATTGCAAGCATATCTCTTTATTCCCTGTTTGCCCCAGTAAAAGCAACTTTGTTCTTTGCAATGGCCAACATTTCACCCTCGACATCAGAGGGTATAAACAGAGACCTTTGGTAAACCATGCAGGCTTGGAATTTTACATGGTCCAAGAAATAAATATGTTTCTTTTCAAAAGGGACCACAAGAGGGTTGATAGCTTCACGCGGCTTCTTCTTCAGGTTGATGCTCCTCCAATTGGGTTGCCTTCATCATTTGCCTAATCCCGTCAATCTTCCCAAACTCCCGCTTCTTCTTCAAGAAC